AGTCATTAAAGCCATTTTATAAGCAAATAAAATAATGTCATTCAGTTTTGGTGAAGAAACAGGACAGTTTTCAGAGAAACATCAATTTTGCTATAATAAAACTTAAAACTGTTTATGCATTTTTTCAATGTACCCAGATTGTTCTTTTTTAAGCCCCTTTAATAATATTAAACAGTAAAGTCTAAACCAGTGGTTCATGTCATCATACTCTAAGTGAAAAATATGATAGTAAAATATTGCAGATTTTAAAAATTTGCTATATGGTAGGATTTATCATCAAATTCTGTTCTTTGAACATTAAAGAGAAAAAAATACATTGCCACATTTTGAGTGATAATTTTGTCAGAAAACAAAATGTCAAAAAGAATGTTGAGACGATGATCTGATGTTCATGTAGAAGACGAGGCCAAGAACATTTTAGAAAATCTATGGAGGTGACATTGTGATGTCAACAAAATAGTTTAATAGCATGATATGATGAATCTTACGTAAGAGAATGTACTGTATGTAGGTGTGTTGATTTTGGTTTAAAGACATCTGCTTAATAAAAAGGTAAGCATTAACGGAGGGACAGGGATTGAAAGAGCTGAGAAAATGGCAATAAATAAAATAGAATGTAAATAATACGTAACTAAATTATAAAATACAGTATAATCAAGTTATTAAGAAGGCTCCTCCTTTGATTGGTGCACACTTGAGATCCTCAGTACACCCCCTGGGCCAGGGCATAAATATATTTATCCAGAAATCTGGGATTTTTCAGATGATCAGTTTTTAAAGTGGGATTTATATTCCTCCCCTATACTGGTTTGGAAGTTTAAAGGAAGTGGAGGTGGCCTGGCTCCCAGTCATGATATCTTTAGACCAATGTACTAAGAGAGATCCCAGGTAAAGGACCTTTTTTGTTGCAAAATCTTTGTATATTGAGGAAAACTCACCAATTTTTGCAGTTAATTAGAAGCATGTTAAAAAAAATTTTCTACACCCAATCAGGCATATATACACTGTTCTCTTGCAGGAATGTACATATGAAAATTATTTTACGTATGTGGTGACATCATTTGAAACAAAAAAAACTCTGCCTACATTTTACATCCAATGGACTGCAAGGCCTATAGCCAAGACTTGTTGTATGTTGTCATCACATATTATGTTGTTATTTATTACTTTATAAGCATTGTTGCACCAATGTATGTAATTATATATGTTAGGTGTGTAAATAGAGAGTTAATATTACACTGAATCATTGGGGAAAGTGTTTGAGCCAGAAATAATTCATCTTCCCCCAAGTTGTGGGAAAAGGAGTTAGTCATTACTTGTCGCTACACACAGTAGTAGTTGCACCGCAAGCCGGTGGCAGCTTCATTCCCCCTGGCAAGTACCTTAGGACACAATCTTTTTTTCAGGGTTACGGGGCATTCTGTCCACCATAGTAATTTTACTGTACTTTTCCGAGGGGGTGATTAGGGAATTTTATTTTCCCTTTTACCACTTTGCTGTTACAATGAATTCATTCATAGTAATGTAACAGCAAAGTTTTCAGCTGTAATGAATAATTTACGTTCATGATAGTTGTTCATCACTAGTGATTGTGATTAGCTACAGCTAATCAGATGGTACAGGGTGCTGTGAAATGGCCCATATGTAACCAGGTGATAGCTTTGGTCCCCCATAGCATAGGAATACACAGCTATTTATAGAATGCATAGCGATCACATGATCACCAGGCCATGAGCATGTGTGTGTCCACCGGACAAAGCAATCATGGGAGCCCCCCCACATAGTATTTGCATCCCTAACCCAGAGTATTTCTGGATAACATACAGTACATGTACATCATATCTGGCCTGCCCATTCAATGCCTGCCTGTAGTAAATTTCAGTACTGTGGGGCCGTTCACATACCCCATAAGTATTTGTGTGACTAATCAGGGTTCATCCATTGACATAATTTTCCCTCATGTTTGCAGCCAAGTATCAGCGTTTCCCCAGGAAAGTAATGTAAGTCCCTCAAAACATAACTTCCCTCCATAGTATTTCATCCCCTGAAAGGAAAGCTGCTGTCATTTCATCAATAGTAGGATTCATCCCTTCATGGGTGGGGTGTGTCCCCCATATATTATGACCCGCATATAGATACCCGCATATAGTGTTCAGTATGCCTATAGTAATCTGAAATCCTGAGAAAGGAAGGATAAAACTGACCACATAGCACAGATTCAGCTTCTGTGCTTATTGTGGTCAGTTTGCATCCCCCATATAGTATTTGGCGTCGCCCATGGTGGTGCATTTTCATATCCCCCTCATATAATTTCATGGGGCCCCCAGGTCAATAGGGGATCATAGGGCCCCTGTGTCCTTCCCTCATAAACTCAAAAAAGCCCCTGAAAAAGTAACCAGGGGCATCTCATGGGGCCCCTATGATATTTCCCCGGGCCCTAGGGCAGTCCCCCCATAGTTTCATCCCCTAATGGTCAGTCCGCCCCTGCAGGGGATGCATGACTCACTCCGCCAGATGAAGTAACATCCCATCAGGGTTGGTGCCAGCATAAGCTTCATTAGTGGCATCACCCACCGTGCTAAAGTCTATCCCACATATAGTATTATCCAGCATCCTGGGCACATCTAGAGGAATGCCAGGGATGCCGCATGTATAGTATTGGGCACCTGCAAGGACTCTAGAAAGTACTAAGCGCCACCCGCCTTCTAGTAACAATGATACTGAGTGGGGAGAAATGGATTAGCAAAGGCTTGGGGCGCGGTGGGGAGGACGCCTGGGTGACAGGAGAGGAGGCTGAGTCTCTGCTGAAGTAGAGTGCTGCCCCGGCTTGCTGATACTTAGGGCCCAAGATGGAGGGAGGGGAGGGTTAGACTCAGGCACCAGCTGTTTGCTGTAGAGACCATGCTGCCGGAAACGTTTCCTATGCTCGCAGAACTCTGATCCTCACTGCACTGGAAAAATATTTATTGGGGTGGGGGTGGGGTGGGTGACATCATGTTTTACCACACCAGGTGACACCAACCCTAGTGATGCCACTGGCCAGGAAGTAGAAAACTTGCAGGATCATACATATACAATATAGTATATATATATATATATATATATATATATATACAGTACTCTGTATATATACACAGTATGATATATATATATATATATTCTCAAAAACACCATTTAAAGCCTTAAAGAGCCAGATTTATGACATTATTTTACATACTTTTATTTTAAGGTAAAAAAACATTTTACAGTGGGTCTGTATCTGCATCTGAGCTTGGTGGGTAAATGGGCATTCTGTTACATAAGCATAAAACATTAAAACTATATCAGTTGCATATAAAGTATATGTATTATATACATGAAATAGTAGAAAATTCAGTCAAAGCCCTGATTGATAATTTTATTTGTAAATTTAGGCCCCATTCACATCTGCCGATTTAGGATCACCGTGCTTCTATCCGTTATTCCAAATTGCGCTGCAATTGTGACAAACGTAACATACAAATCGAATGTTTGAGTGCCATTCAATTTTAATGGCACCTCAAAGATGGAGCAGGAGCTTTGCGCAATGTGGGTTTTCGGAAAGATAAATAGTGTGACAATCCCTGCAAAACAGCACCGTGTTTGAGGTGTCATTAAAATTGTCTGTGTTTTGCAGCAAACTTTTTGCATGGAAGGGTAAGAGTTCATGTCAGGTTTTTAATGATTTCTGTGTCTCTTCTGTGTAGATTCTCTCTCCCTTTTTGTCCTGGTAATCATTGTGTCTGGGACAAAAAGTGATAGGATACTCAGAATGTTACAGTTTTTACTATTTACAATTTTACAACTGTCACAGGAACATGAGGTGAGGGGAAAATATTTAATGGATACGCTCACATCTGCACATCTTTTTGCAGGTATAAAAAATCTGCAATTATTATTTTTTTTTACTAGGAGCCTAGAAAGCATTGCACCCAGGATCAGCAGATCGTGGGTGTCATGCAGGACTCCTGCAGACCTGTCATTGTGCCTGTGTGCTTATACCTCATACAGGCAAGCAGATACACACTGACATGAAGAAAGAATGAACTACCACGGAGCTCAACAGCGCCATGGTAGTTCATTGAGAGCTACGAGCTGACAGGCGAAAAGGCTATCTAACCTGTAATTTTACATTCACAGAATTCTGTTAATGAATGAAGCAACCAGAGGGCAGATCCCTGCATGGCTGGGTTTTTTTTAAATAGTGACAGCAAATGGAGTGAGAAGATCCCCCGCTAGCTGTTCACTCTATGCAGCAGAGCGGGCAGCAGCTCCAGCAGTAGGAACATGTAACATGTTCCCAAAGGTGAACTTTAACCACTTCCCGCAGGGCGGCATGGGTGCACAAAATCACATATATATACGTGATTTTTCATTTCCGGCTAGGGGGTGCGGTCCCTACCTGCGCTGCCATTCGTGGCTGTGGCTGTCTATCACCGGGTCCTGGCTGGTGATTACTCATCAGTGCCCAGTGATTGCCGAGGATCTTCGACGGGGAGGAGAACTGTTTGTAAACAAAACAGTTTCTTTTCCCTATCGGCTTGTGCACACTGCTTTGGATGGCTGTGCACAGCACAGCCATGCAAAGCAGCTCTATAATTACAGTGAAGCACACAGACATAGTGAAACTGCACAAAGTTAACCCTTTGATCACCCCTCATGTTAATCTCTTCCTGCCCAGTGCCATTAGTACAGTGTCAGTGCTTTGTTTAGCACTGATCACTGTATTGGTGTCACTGGGGATGTCAGTGACACCAAGTCAGTTCCCCCCAGTGTCATAATGCCTGCCGCAGTCCCGCTATAAGTCGCTGATCGCTGCCATTACTAGTAAAAAAATATATATATAAAAAAATCCCAGTATATATACTGCCATTTGTAAACGCTATAAGTTTTACGTAAACCAATTAACTTAACCACCTCCCATCCGGCCGTTGTATATAAACGGCCAGACGGTGGCAGTGCAGGGTTGGGTGGCCGTTTATATAAATGGCTTTTACCGGCCCCCCTGCTTGTGCGTGCTCTCCGGACACAGTGAAACACTGATCGTTAGACGGGACCTCCGTGCGAGGTCCGATCATATGATCACTGATTAGCCAATCAGTGATCACATGCAGAGTAGTAAGCAAGATGATCATTCACAATCTGTGAATGATCACAGAGGTTACATGGTACAAAGGTTATTCACAACAGCCTTGTACCATGTGACAAGCTGTGACTAATCACAGCTCACTCAGTAGTTCTCAATGGCTGCAAGAATGCAGCCAGAGAGAAGGAGAAATGATTGCTTTACATCCCTTTTTATGGGTTGTAAAAGCGATCAGTGTAAAAAAAACATTTTTCATCACCTCCACAAGTAGTACAGTGTCACCATGGTGACACTGTACTGCTAGGGGTGACAGTATGTAAAATAAATAAATAAATAATAATAATAATATAAAAAAAAATAAAAAAAATAAAAAAAAAATGTTTAAAAGTTATAATTTTTGGTTATGAACTAATTTGGGTTCTTTTTTTTTTTTACTAAAAATATAACGGAATAAATTTTGGCCAAGATTTATGATGAAATAATATTTATTTGCAAAATTTTATAAGAAAAACACTTTTTTTTCAAAATTTTTGGACTTTTTAATTTACATAGCAAAAAAAATAAAAATCCCAGTGGTGAATAAATACCACCAAAATAAAGCTTTATCTGTCTCAAAAAATATGCTAAAAAATTCATATGGGTACAGTGTTTGCATGACCGCACAATTGTCATTCAAAGTGTGATAGCTCTGAAAGCTGAAAATTGCCCTGGACAGGAAGGGGGTAAAAGTGTTCGGACAGGAAGTGGTTAAACATATTGGGATTCTTTTTTTTACCAAAGATATGTAGCAGAATACATTTTGGCTTAAATTTATAATGAAATGTGATTTTTATAATTTTTTTACTGGACATGTTTAATAGCAAAATGTCAAAAATATAGTTTTTGTTCTCAAAATTGTCTGTCTTTTTTTTATAGCACAAAAAATAAAAACTGCACAGGCAATCAAATACCACCAAAAGAAATCTCAATTCGCGGGGGAAAAAAGGACGTAAATGTCATTTGTGTGCAGCATTGCATGACTGCGCAATTGTCAGTTAAAGTAACGCAGCGCTGTAACGCAAAAAATGGCCTGGTCAGGAAGGGGGTAAATCCTCTGGAAGGCAAGTGGATAAATGAGAATGATTTGTCTGGTGGCAATTGTTCTACTAACTATTGAGACATTTGCTCTCACTTCCTGTTGCGTCGCCAGAACTGGAAGTGAAGGGAGCTCAGGCACAAAAAAATAAACTGATAAGGATTTTACTACCTGCAACGCACAAAGCTGTCCACAAAACTGCCCCCAGCTACACCACCAACCTCACCTGCAGATATCGGCCAAATCGTCTCCTCTCCGCTCCTCCAAGGATATTTTGCTCTCTAGCTCCCTTGTTACCTCCTTCCATGCTCTCCTCCAGGACTTTTCCAGAGCCTCTCCCATCCTCTGATACCAGACGGGTATTTTTTTTTTGTAGCCAGAGTTGACCTTTAAAAAAATAAACATACTACTTACAGTTTTGACAATGATGCCCTTCTATGTACCCTTGTTTCTTCTCAGAATTTGAATGATGAAAGCTCTGAGGTGAAATTGAGTGGCTGGCCTATATAATTGCTTCTGTGACACAAACATGGCTGGAAAAAAACACATAGGTGGAGTAAACACCTAGCGCATTATCCAAGGTTTGTTAAATTGTTTAAAAAGACAAAAAAAAAATACTCGCAAATTTAGTGCATAAAAATCCTGTGATCTTTCAAATCTAAGGAAAGGGACATGTCCCAGAAATGCATCAGAGGGCTGAGCGCACCACCAGTCGGACAATCGGAAAACCTGCTACAGGGGCGGGCTGACAACTCATGGGGCCCCCCGGGCAATAGGGGATCATGGGGCCCCTGTGTCCTTGCCCAAACTCAAAAAAGCCTATGAAAAAGGTACCAGGGGCATCTCATGGGGCCCCCTACTGACCCCAGGCCCTCGGGCAGTGCCCGAGTTTCCAAATGGTCAGTCCGCCCCTGCCCTGTTATCATTTTGGCCATCTCTGTGGCCTCACTGGCTTTTGATGCACTAATTTTTTTAGTATGTTTTTTGTCTTTTGAAACATTTTAATAAACCTTGGATAATGTACTAGGTGTTTGTCCCGCCTGTGTGTTTTTCTCCAGTTCGTTGATCTCCCCATCTGAGGAGGGCAGCATCACAAGGACTTTATCCATAGGTCATCCACACATCTGATTCCCTGGCCTCTTCCTGGCATTGATCCCTTTGAGGCGCTGGAGAATTTGTACTCTTTTACACAAACTTGACTGTTGAAAGTGGAATTGTAGTCAAAAAAGTCCTGCTAGATCCCTTCAGCTATTGCTATGTAAAACATTAAAAATAAGTGACTATACTTTTTAAAATCCAGTAATGCATTATTTCACCCTGCTCTGCACATGCTCAGTTGCTCTCTATTTTTAGACATTGTCACGAAAATCAGGAATAATGTGAGGCCGCTCTGCTGACAGCTTAAAGAATTACTGCTGCTCAGGGGCTCTGGGCTTCAGCAAAATGGCCACCACCCATAAAAAAGAAACAGGAACAATGCTGGAGGCAATTTACAGCACGCACTCATTTTGGTAGTATAATTATTAATGTGGAATATATGTTGCTTGCTAAAGAACATTATTTTTTTTATCAAGATGTTTATGGGTAAAGTTCCACTTTAAATTAAAAACTCAGTTTTGCTTAGCCACAAAAAGTATGGACCCCTCCAGTCATGTGGTACAGAGGTGGGCTGGACAGATTTATATAGATCTGCCTAGCTCACTGCTGTATCCTGTTGGACCATTTTGGCCTGGCTGAATCCTGACTGTAGGTATGTCAAGATGTGGTCTGTGTGATTGAATGTTACAGACAATAGAGCTGTTATTTTGTTCATCATGTTTTTCCAATTGATATCTGGCAACATGAAGACATTTTTTATCACAGTTAGAAGACTGATTTTTCATGAAAAGTAAATATTTTCTTTATTACTGTTTAATGATGATTAGATTATGTTAATTGCACTGGGTCTTTTCTTTAATCCTATGTGAAGCTTGGAAAGACATTTTCTCTATGAATGTGCAGGGTGCATGTATTCCTTCCTCACAGGCAACTTTTAGAAAGAGAAAACATGTTCAAGAATGGGTAATTTCCTCACAATTTGCAACAAGAAGCAGCTGTTGTGAAGGCTATCTGCAAACCTTTCTTCAGCACATCAACATGGCAATTTGAGTGTGAATATTTCCTTAGTGACTACTGCACAGTCTTTTAGCTATGGGATCATGTCTCCAGTTCTCCATATCTCTATATCTGTCCATGGCTAGCTTAAAGTGTTACTAAACCTACAACAGTAAAATCAGTCTGTATATGCAGTAATGCTTGTTATGCTCACTGTGGAACCTAAGGGGTTAATCCTCTTCATTGTGTAAAAAGGCAGTTTGATCCTGTCTTCTCTGCTCCTCTTCTTGTTCAAATGTCCACGTCTTATCTCCTGATAATACAGACTGAATCCGTAACCGTTCTGCACATGCTCAGTTTAGTGTGTATTGCTAGAGAGGGTTTTTTTTTTTCATGGGAGAGTGCATGTGATCAGCACAGGGCCAATCAGCACTGTACAGACAGAGGTCAGGGGTTTTGCATCCTCCTAGAGCAGAACTTCTCCTACAAGATTTAAACAGTTCTCTGCTGAACACTGATAGAAGTCCCAAGACTGCTCTATCTGCTGATGAGAAAAGGTATTTAGCAGTTTATTGTAATCACTTATAACCCGCACTCGGATGCCACCAATAAATAACAAAAATGTGCCAAACAATACCAAAAAAATTAGAGCTGCTGCTTCTACAAAGGTACTGACCTCTAGATAAAATGTTAAAGCAGTGAAGCACTGCCCTATAAACACCGGACCGGAAGCAGTGCTCCGGCGTGTGTTCCACTGGCCGGAAGTGATGTCACCAACAGCTCCCATATGACGAGTTTCACCCCTCCCACTGGCTCCTTTGAGAATGCCCAGTGGGAGGGGTGAAACACATCAAGTGGGAGCCACTAGTGACATCACCCTTGGCCGCTGGAACACACGCTGGTGCGCTACATCTGGTTCAGTGTTTGCATGCTTTTCCATCTGCTATTACATGTGAATGCAACACGATTTTAACTCTGATTTTAAATAAACAGTATTTCACTATATGGGCCCTCCTTCTCTCTTTATACACTACTTTATGAGGAGCTTATTCTCATGAATCGGAAACTGACAACGGAGGACTAAAATGAGGTACTGGACCCACAGGAGGACTACAAATCCCAGGTGAATCTATATAATACACAAGCTCATTAGTCTCTTGTTCTTATAAGAGTCCACGGGAGCTGGTGAGTAAGTGGAACCACTGGAGGGGAGCACTAAGGATTCGTTGCTCTTTATAAAGAATTACCGCAATTTGCACTTTGAAGAATCCTTGCACGTTTGCACATTAACCCCCCTGGCGGTATTCCCGAGTGTAGCTCGGGGTTAACTTTAAGTACCAGAAGCGGTAACCCTGAGCTACACTTGGGTTATACACTGCAGCTTTGCTCTAGGATCCCTCCAGCACTTACATTGTCCTGCGCTCCCGCGATGTCCCCCCTACAGCGTCCCCTGCCATGTCTTCCGGCCGATGCCGACATCCGTCTTCCGGGAATTTCAAAAATATAAAAATGTGACATCCACTCAATACAGTAAAATCACATAGTATAACATTACTGTATCAAAGCATTTCACATACATTTTGTCCCGAGTGCTTTGTCCTGTGCCCTGCCTGCATTTGTACTGTTCTTTCTGCCTTGAAACTGAGAAACGTCCATGGCGTCCAAAAAGGGCCCCTTTAGGTCAAAAGCGGTTTTAGACCGGCTAGAGAACAGCGATAGTAAATCAGAACTACTTGTAGAATTGAGTGATAATCATTCGTGGGGAAATTCGTCATCAGACACTGAAAACGATTTTGCGACTGAGCTCAGTGATGTGTGCAAACTTGGCGCTCTATTTCAAATTTCGGTGTTTTTGGTTTGATTACATTATTGAATTAAATTTATTATTATTATATTATTATTTTTTATGATCATTTATTATCTTATAATTTATGATTTTGTGTTTCAAATTTTATCATACCCGGGATGGTTACTAGACTCTTGTTCGGACAGGTTTCAGTGAGTTATTCCTAAGAATTACAGGCCTACAATAAAAAAAACAACATATATCCATTGAAAACAATGTACCGCTTTGAGCACAGAAATACTGACATAATCAGACCGCTAGGGAGGTTAAGAGACTATAATTTATGAATTATTCGTTTATTTAATTAATTTGTTTATAATTACGTTGATGGTGTGATTGTAGAGGAAGCACATTCCATGAATTTATAATATGTATATTTTGAGGTATTTTGCATGCATATAGGGCAGCGCTTCACTGCTTTAACATTTAGCAGTTTATATTTACTAAAATAATTGCACTTCCATGTTCTGTGTACTGTGGAAGGCCAGATATAGTGAATGCCGGGTCCTGGGTTTGGTAACACTTTAAAGTGGTTGTAAACCTCAGACGTCAAATATGAACAAAGAATATTCTTCTACAGTGTGTACTTGTCTCAATTAAGAACACTAAGTGTCATTTCTGTCTGCTGCTTCATTCCTCTGCTATCAGCATGAGTCTCTTCTGACAAGGTTTCCTGACACCAAGAGAAAAATGGTGACAGGCGAGGGACCACTAGCAGATTGACAGCCTCAGATCTGTTCCTATGAGCTGTGTGAAGGGGGGGGGGGGGTATGTCTCTTCTCTCCAGTCAGCATTCAGAGCTCTCCTCTCTGAGTGTAACTTTAGCTCTCCTCCCCCTGCTTTTCAAAGCTGAGAGAGCCTGTGCAGAGTCTGCACTTTGAATGGATGTAGGGTACAGACATCTATAGATAGACAGGTACAGCTTATGTAGGAGGATTTATTTAATCACTGAGGTCAGTCCAGGGGTGGACTGACCATTTGGAAACTCGGGCACTGCCCGAGAGCCCGGGGTCAGTAGGGGGCCTCATGAGATGCTCCTGGTACCTTTTTCATAGGCTTTTTTGAGTTTGGGCAAGGACACAGGGGCCCCATGATCCCCTATTGCCCGGGGGGGGGGCCCCATGAGTTGTCAGTCCGCCCCTGGGTCATTCACTTCATTGGATATACTGTATGTAAGGGTTTACAACCACTTTGATATCCGCTGAGCCCTATGAGATAATCAGTAACACAGAAATAATAAGTATAGAAAACACAGCTGACTCAAGCACCATGAGCAAAAACAGATCAAATTAAGTTATTATACAAAGCACAGTCTATTTTATTGAAGAATATGTAAAGCAAAGCACTTTCTTGTGACAATTATATCCCACTCCCAATACAAACCAAGATAGAAGAGTATTTAACTACAGGCAAGTATACAATACAGAAGCAGCTCTACGAGCATATGTACAAAGCAGAGTTAATGCCTACAGCAAATGCGTAAGTAGATCCCATTCTAGCAGCATACAAAAACTTCATTTTGCTTGAGGCAGGCTCATTCTGCTGGGAATAAACAAAACAACTGTTCTAATTAAATATATTTTTTTAAAAAAAAGAAGAGTTTACATGAGTAAGAACAGCGGGGAAGTGTTCAAGCATATTGTCTTGGCTCAAATGCCATACTTAGAAAGATTAGGCAGTAAATAATGCACACAGTGGTAAAAATGTCCGACTTGTTTTTCTCAAAAAATGTGATAGAATGGAAGATCATGTAACCTCAAACTGACTCATATGACAATATGGGGAACATGGAGGCACACAGTCACTTATTCACAAAACATAAGTTTTGATTTAATGGGTAAGAGGCATGGATGCTAAAATGAAGACTTGATGGGGTCAAGGAACTAGTCACAGCTCCAAATACATTAGTAAGTCCAGAATCCCAAATGTACATCAACACTGGCTGACAGATGTCACTAGAAAGGTAAAGGAGGTTAGAGGTTATGGAGCATGAATGAAGAAGTTTCTTTTAAGAAGCAGATTGCAAAGGACATTTTGTACAAGATGGTAAATGTGATGCTCTCTATATTGGGTAAAAAGCAGCTGACATTAGATTGCATTTCAGACCACAAAGCACGTTTATATGAGCCATGAGACTGATATGTTCAAATGAAACTCAAGTAATAACCTCAACAACAAGAAAGCAGGAAACCACTTTATTAGGAGTCCTATCGCAAGACGTAGAATATCCTTATCCCTTATATGATCAGATATTTTGCAAAAGCGAGATCACCACCTCAGGCTTGAGCTCTGAGCTGCTCTGATTTCTGCATTATACTGTTCTTGCCTCAGAAATTCAAAATTGGACTAATGTCAATATGCTTTCAGTACCTGAAAAAATCTTCTTCTATGGACACATTGAATGTAAGTGATACTTTGTATGAAGAAAAAGTTAGTACAGTGATTGGTGAAAACATGTGGAGCTTTCAATTGCTGTGAAACTTTAAAGGGGTTAATCATGATAATTCCTAGTAAGGGGTGAAATATACTCTGTGTACTTAAAACTTTGCTATACCTAAATAGAACTTAAGCCTCGTACGAACTGTACGTTTCTACTGACAGATCCCTGTACTAACACAAGCACTGTTAGTACAACAATCACCCCTCACTGAGCTATTGTGTTCTGACAGGGGTACTGCCCCCCACACCAAAACACACATTGCCATTGATGAGAGCGCTGATCAGAGGCCGATCAGCAGACCATTTTCAGTCATAACCGTTCTATGTTCAGCCGATTCTGTTGACCAGTATCTGTTGAATGACCGATACCGCCTGATATTCGGCCCATGTGTACTTAGCTTTACATTCTCTCAGATATTACTAATAAAATGTTGATAAGCTGACATATAATAATACATATTTTTAGTATGGGAACAAAGGAAACATTTTCATACTGAAGAAATAGAACTAAAAAACAAAATGTGCTGTACACATGTAAGTAGTTCTGTAAATTTAGTAGAACACCAATACAATTAGAATACTATGATTGAAAACACATAGTTAGGAGACTTGACCAATAGTAAGCCATCAGATACTTTATATCACTGGAGTTGTCCTACAAATGATATCAGATAGAATCTAATAAGTCAACAGGCAATATCTTCAATTTCTCTTTATATAGCACAGATTCTTGAGCACAACATTCTACAAAGCAAAGTCAACCATCCAATAAAATCATGAGAACTTTTCTGACAGCATCATGGATATTTTACCTGCTGGACCAGTCAAATGTTGATCAGTGTATAACCAGTTTTAGTTTGAGGCATGATTTGTATAGGTTTCTCAATCCATGAATTTCAATATGAAATTTATTTTTTGAGCCCAAATTTGGAATAGAGCACCAAGAGGCTGTATGAACTAGGGGCCCTATTTATGTAAGTTAATTAACAAAAAAAATAGCAAAACAGTTTACACTTTTTGAGTGCGCAATGCTACTGTGAGGGTATCTTTGTTTATTGTGTACTGAAACCCAGGAACAAACATTTTATAAAGTACTGTATATTGCAGTTTACCTATCCTTAGATGTTCCGGCTGCATTGGTTTTCTTTTTTTTCAGGATATTCTCCTTTATTTTCATCTGGTGATTCTATCAGTTAGAAATTAACCACTTCCGTCTGGCCATTGTATATAAATGGCTGGAAGGTGGCACTGCAGGGGAGGGTTGCCGTTCATAAATGGTGCCCGCCATTTTGGACTGTGAGTGCTCCATGGGAGCGCACGGCACTGCGATCCGGAGGACACAGCGGAACATCGATCGCTGTACGGGACCTCTGTGTGAGGTCCCGATCATGTGATCACTGATTGGCCAATCAGTGATCACGTGAATAGGTGTAAGCAAGATGTCACTTCTGACATCATTGCTTACTACGTGTGAATTCTGTGAATGATCACAGAGATCACATGGTACAAGGCTATTCACAACAGCCTTGTACCATGTGACAAGCTGTGACCAATCACAGCTCACACAGCTTACACAGTATTTCTCAATGGCTGCAAGAATGCAGCCAGAGAGAACGAGAAATTATTGCTTTTACAGCCTTTATGACTGTAAAAGCAATCAGTGTAAAAAAAAAAATCTTCATCACCCTCCACAAGTAGTACAAGTGTCACTATGGACTGCTAGGGTGACAGTATGTTAAAAAAAAAAAAATAATAATAAAAAAAAAATAAAAATGTAAAAAAATGTTTTTGAAAAATTATCATTTTTGGTTATAAACTAATTTGGGTTATTTTTTTTAACTAAAAAGATAACTGAATAAATTTTGGCCAAGATTTATGAAGAAAGATTATTTATTTGTAAAATTTTATAAGAAAAACACTTTTTTTTCAAAATTTTAGAACTTTTTCATTTATATAGCAAAAAATAAATAAAAATCCCAGTGGTGAATAAATACCAACAAAATAAAGTTTTATCTGTCTCAAAAAAATGCTAAAAAATTCTTATGGGTACAGTGTTGCATGACCGCGCAATTGTCATTCAAAGTGTGACAGCACTGAAAGCTGAAAATTGGCCTGGACAGGAAGGAGGTAAAAGAGTCCGGACATGAAGTAGTTAATGTCTTGGGATGACAATGCTCACTCACTGTACTGTACTTGTGGAAGAGCAGTGTTGCCACCAAAGAACCAGGGGTGTGTTAGGACTACACTCATCTCATCATCTCCATACCATAGGAGGGCAGTGTTCTGTTATTCACAGAGAGAACTGATACTTGATAACAGTGCAGCACAAGCATGGTGCACAGGATGTTAAGCGCTCAATGTATTTCTGACAATTTCAAGCAGTAATTTTGGCACTTATCAAACAGATATAACAAAACACTTTAAAAAAATACATATAACAGACCAAAAGGGAGCAAATAATATGTTCATTGTTAGGGTATACATAAAATTTAGTCCAGATTACTACTGCTGCTGTGCTCCCCATCTATAGCAATCATCATTTTAGTATGGGTTATGTTCATGCATTGATTCATTTCTCCCAGGAACCTAATGTTTGATTATCTGTCCTTAACAATACACAGCAAGAAGGAGCTAGGAAATGAGGAGCAGGTAAGGTAAGTAGGCACTTTTTCAATGAACTGAAGGTTGTATCCAGCCAGGTGGAGCCAGATGATGAAACAGAATTGTAGTAAGTAACTGTTACCAACGGTCATTGCTGTGTGTAACTAGAATCAAATTATAAAACCAGGACAAGAAACAAACATGGAGTTAGAAATCCCAGTAGAGGTCAGGAGAAGCTGATAAAAGGTCATCAAATAAAGTCAATCTAAAATTCAAAGAGGAATAATACCCACAAACTAGTAAACTCTGCAATGAGCAACTTGTGAATAGGTATGAGCTGCCAGCTCAGATCGAATATGCTGATTCGACAAATGGCCAAAATAAATTGGTGTTTGGTTGAGTTGAACCTCTGGTGGTGGCAGAAAGTGATACATTTAGCAGTGGTATTACTACCATTGCTGAATATGACAGCTTGCCCTCTGGCTGGTTGTTAGAAATGCGGAATCTGTGGCTTATCCCTGCCTGGCTCATTCATCTGTCAGCCTGGGATTCCCAGCTGAAGGCATAATGTAAACAAAGGAGAGAGGATAGTGTAAAAACAAGAAAACAAATGTCATGTGGACCCCCAATATTCATACCAGACCCACAAACAAATATGTGTGGTCCTCCCCAGTATTCTGAAGCATCTGGTATGGATTAAAAGGGGGAACCCATGCAAAAAGAAATGTGGGCCCCCAAAATCACTGTTCTGAACATGCAGCCTGTATGGGTGGTGGGGACCAGGAGATATTGCTTATGGCAAGTGAGCAGCGGTAGTGGATTTTTCCAGTGGTTTGCAGGGTCAGTGGGTGTTGATCATCATAATTGTCAAGGATTTGGATGACTGGATGATGTGATTTATGATGGATTTGCATTGTGGGTTTGCTTTTCTTTCTTTTTAAATAAAGGACTTGTCAAAAACTGTGTTTATTTACTTTCTATTTTTTGTGAATGAGTATGGGTACTACAAATATGTAAATAGATAGGCGCTACAACAACCGTATATCAAAAGATGAGAGCAAGTCAACTCTTAACAACATCTAACAAGTAATTTTCCCATATAAAATATAATGATATGAGAGCAAGTGAACTCTCAACAACATCTAACAAATAATATTCATATACCAAATATAATAAACGGGGAACACAATATAGTGACAGTCCCATGAAGTTGTAATTCTGTACAATTGGGTTCTACAGTATATACCATTTAACGCTCATTCACACACACTCTGGTCTTCAAAGAGTGATCTGTGGTCACATCACAGTGCATTTGACAGGCAGTGCGGAGGCATTGTATCACCTTGTCACCTCCTGCTTTAAGCCCCTTAATTGTTGAGTGGCCCCATTCACGTTAATGGGTCATGCTTAGTGTATGCTATGCCTGTGGAAAGTGACAGTGGATATAATTACTGCGACAAGTGTACACCCTAGGTTGCTACCTATGCAACTGTGGTGGGAGTGGTTCTGGAGCAGCAAAATCGCAGCTCAACCACGGGGCATTACAGCCCCTGAACCACTACTGTGAAGGAGCCCCTACTCTCTATTTATATAGGAAGGGTAGTGTCTGAGTCCCCCTTATTGTTAAAGGGCAGCACAGTGGCTAAATGGTTAGCACTTATGCCTGGCAGTACTAGGGTAGTTGGTTTGAATCCCAACCACCTGCCTGAGGTTTGCATGATCACCCTGTGTCTGCATGGGTTTCCTCCGGGTACTCCGGTTTTCTCCCACAATCCAAAGACATGCTCTTAGGATAATTGGATCCTGTCTAAATTGTCCCTAGTATATGTATCTATGAATGTAGGTTAGAGACCTTAGATTGTACACCTCTTGAGGGTTAGGGACTGAAGTGAATGTACAGTATATATATATATATGTAAAACGCTGCGTAAATTGACAGAGCTATATACTGTAAGTACCTGAAATAAATAAAATAAAAGGGACTTTCAGATTCTGATAACCCTCCTGCCTGCAAACCCCCATAACAAGGTGTTTTGCAAGGGGGGGTCAAGGATTAAGGTCTGGTGTAGCTGAAGGTAACTTCCACTCAGGTTTGCTTACAACCAGAAGCAAGCATTTGAGATCTTGCTAACCTCATCTGGAATATGCAGTTCAGTTTTGGGCACCAATTCACAAAAAGAACATTGGAGAACTGGAGAAAGTACAGAGAAGGGCAACCAAATTGATAAGAGGCATGGAGGAGCTCAGCTATGAGGAAAGATTAGAGGAACTGAATGTATTCTCTCTTGAGAAGAGGAGATTAAGGGGGAATATGATCAACATGTATAAATACATCAGTGGTTCATATAGTGAACTCGGTGTAGAGCTATTATAAATGAAAAATTGGTGTAGCGCTCTAAAACAAATACCACTATGTATGAAATAGATGTGCATAGATAGAACCTAGACTCATAAATAGAGATATACATATATATATACTCTCAGATATCACACAGATAACCATGCATAAAAGGATAATATTCCCCTTGTGCGTCCCCCTAATAAGAAGAAAACATACGTGACTGGGTACTTGTATAGTGGTTGCACACAAAACCATGCAGAAATGACACACTGCAACAAGTAGTAATGGTAAATAATATACAGTCCTCTTCAAGCAAAAACTGTGAGCCTTTTAGAGCCGTGAGAGTGCCACTGGTGCCACAATCCTAAAATGGTCTGAGTGCCTTCTCACCTCCCCACACTGACCACACAAGGGCCAATATGCCTTGTTACATATTGGGTGTATCCCTCAGGCGTCAACCGGTCTACAGGTCCACAGCAGGTCCCACATCAAGCGCTGTTATCCAAAGAACACCTCCAGCCGCTGTATAATGGTGGTACCTTACCACCAGATGATGCTCAGAGACATAAACAGAGATCTCCCATAGCATAATACAGTATTATTTATTGAATAAATAAATAATATTGGGACTCCAGATACACCCACAACACAAGGATACCATGAGGATTTATACTATGTGTTAAATCAACTGTGGACATGTGAGTGGGCATTTTTATATTCTTTTTCAATAAATAATACTGTATTACGCTATGGGAGATCTCTGTTTATGTCTCTGAGCATCATCTGGTGGTAAGGTACCACCATTATACAGCGGCTGGAGGTGTTCTTTGGATAACAGCGCTTGATGTGGGACCTGCTGTGGACCTGTAGACCGGTTGACGAGTAAGAGCTGTGAAAATGTGGAACAGACTCCTTCAAGAGTTTTTTTATGGTTGAACTGGATGGACTTTTGTCTTTTTTTCAGCCAGAGTACCTATGTAACTATGAGATTTGACATTTACTGACCATTTAAGCAGCATTTTTTTCTTTGTATATATACATTTTGCTGTAGTAGGTTGCATACATTGTACAGAGGGGCCAAGTAGGTTCCAGACTTCTCCCAAGCATGTTATTTAAAGTATTTAGTATTTGTAATATTGCCTGAACAGCATTAACCGACTTTTAAAAACTTTCTTTGCTTTGATACATGTTTCTCAGAGCAGCACCCAAACTCCCTCTCCCCCCCATTGAAGTTTGTCTGAAAAGTCCTTGCCTATAAGTATAGAATATGGTCTTTACTGTTTTTAACATTTGAATCCCTTTGACTGCAGTGGGGTTAATATTTGGCACTCAAGATTTAGTAATGTTCGCCAAACCTGTTTTGAAGCAAAAGTAGATATGTTCGGCTCATCCTTACTTGTGAGTGTCACAAGCTGCAGGATATTTAGCAATTCCTGTGATTTTTGAGTATGCTCAGCCACAACAATGTAGGTGGACAGGATGACTGAGTCTTCAAAAAGAATGCTGCATTAGGCATGTGGACTCTGAAGGTAAGTCTGATGAGTAAACCAAAGACAGGACCCAGGAAGTATATTGCCAGAATTCTGAGCAGCTGTAACTGAATATAATGTGTCCACAAAATGAGCCAGAAAAAGCTGTGCAGCTATGTATCTGTGGACAGATCCAAACTGTTTGCATAGATGAAAACCTTGCATGTGAGTTCCTGACAACTAGAGTTTGTATTGTGTTGTCAAGTGGTAAAGGTTATATACTAAGTATACATTTATATACATTGCATAAGGGATCTCAATACAGACATCAAACAGACAACAATGGACCCTTCTGCAAATCAGCTCAGCTGGTAAGTGTCAGAGCAACAGTTTCCAGAGTATTGATAAATCATCAAATAATTAATTTAATTCAGGCTAGAGCAACACAAACTGGGGTGGCACTGCAAATTCTTCTTCTTGGATAAAGTATTTACTCAGTGTGCTTTATGGTAACCTATGCTATGCTGCTTTCATCATCTGTAGCCCTGTCCATATAATTGTGATCTTTACTTAGTGTCTCACATAAATTATGGCCTGATCTTAATCTTTACAACTAGGGATGCACTGATACCGGTATCAGTATTGGTGCCGATACCAAGTATTTGCATGAGTACTCATACTCGTGAAAATACTCCAGATACCTTAACTAGAGATGAGCGAAGTATTCAAAATTTCGATTCGGCTGATTCGGCGAATTCGAGGAATAAATTTGATTCGATGCGAATATATTCGCTGCGAATTTAACTTATAAAAAGGGTGTTTCTAGGCTTCAGAGAGCCTTTATATTAGTGCAGAACACTGTACCCTTAATTTAAATGCCCTTGGAGTCTGCTGGGGAAGAGAAATAATACTGTCAGTCAGTATGACATGCAGATGAGTGCCGTCGATCTTAGAATCACCGCACACTTCACTCATTTGGGCAGTCACGGGGCCAAAACCAGAGTGTGGAGCCACAGTGTGGCGGTGGAGGCAGCAGCAATGGGAGGCCATACAGCACCCTATGACAAAATGGAACCCACCAGCAGTGTGAGGAGACCTGAAAGTGGCACATGGCAGAGTGTGGCGATGGAGACAGCAGCAATGGGAGGCCGTACAGGGACCCATGAGACACTCTGGACCTGGCAGCAGCATGAGGAGTCAGTACGGGGGCCCATGGCAGATTATGGGCCTGGCAGCAGCACTGGGAGGCCCGTAATCTGCCAGCACCCTATGACAAAATGGGAACCCACCAGCAGTGTGAGGAGACCTGAAAGTGGCACATGGCAGAGTGTGGCGATGGAGACAGCAGCAATGGGAGGCCGTACAGGGACCCATGAGACACTCTGGACCTGGCAGCAGCATGAGGAGGCGGTACGGGGGCCCATGGCAGATTACGGGCCTGGCAGCAGCAATGGGAGGCCCGTAATCTGCCAGCACCCTATGACAAAATGGGAACCCACCAGCAGTGTGAGGAGACCTGAAAGTGGCACATGGCAGAGTGTGGCGATGGAGACAGCAGCAATGGGAGGCCGTACAGGGACCCATGAGAGACTCTGGACCTGGCAGCAGCATGAGGAGGCGGTACAGGGGCCCATGACAGATTACGGGCCTGGCAGCAGCATGAGGAGTCGGTACGGGGGCCCATGGCAGATTACGGGCCTGGCAGCAGCAATGGGAGGCCCGTAATCTGCCAGCACCCTATGACAAAATGGAACCCACCAGCAGTGTGAGGAGACCTGAAAGTGGCACATGGCAGAGTGTGGCGATGGAGACAGCAGCAATGGGAGGCCGTACAGGGACCCATGAGACACTCTGGACCTGGCAGCAGCATGAGGAGTCGGTACGGGGCCCATGGCAGATTACGGGCCTGGCAGCAGCAATGGGAGGCCCGTAATCTGCCAGCACCCTATGACAAAATGGAACCCACCAGCAGTGTTGAGGAGACCTGAAAGTGGCACATGGCAGAGTGTGGCGATGGAGACAGCAGCAATGGGAGGCCGTACAGGGACCCATGACAGATTACGGGCCTGGCAGCAGCATGAGGAGGCGGTACAGGCCCATGACAGATTACGGGCCTGGCAGCAGCAATGGGAGCCCCGTAATCTGCCAGCACCCTATGACAAAATGGAAACCAACAGCAGTGTGAGGAGACCTGAAAGTGGCACATGGCAGAGTGTGGCGATGGAGACAGCAGCAATGGGAGGCCGTACAGGGACCCATGAGACACTCTGGACCTGGCAGCAGCATGAGGAGTCGGTACGGGGGCCCATGGCAGATTACGGGCCTGGCAGCAGCAATGGGAGGCCCGTAATCTGCCAGCACCCTATGACAAAATGGAACCCACCAGCAGTGTGAGGAGACCTGAAAGTGGCACATGGCAGAGTGTGGCGATGGAGACAGCAGCAATGGGAGGCCGTACAGGGACCCATGACAGATTACGGGCCTGGCAGCAGCATGAGGAGGCGGTACAGGGGCCCATGACAGATTACGGGCCTGCCAGCAGCAATGGGAGGCCCGTAATCTGCCAGCACCCTATGACAAAATGGAACCCACCAGCAGTGTGAGGAGACCTGAAAGTGGCACATGGCAGAGTGTGGCGATGGAGACATGGCCCCCTGGCCATGCTTGACTTTCTGGCCACATAGTCGACATACGGCTACGTTTACTTCCTCGGGCGACTTGACGAAAAATTGCCACACACCGCCGAGTAGGAAACTTTGCCCCCGCTACTCCTCACTGGCTGACTGCTACTTCCTCCGTGCACACCGGCACCACTACTGGCCGTGGTGGTAGGCTGCAGTGGAGCTGGTGCTCTACTCCGTGGCCGTTGGCCTCCACTGACACTGCTGCGACCCTGCTGCCTCCTGGGCAACCCACCGACTGTTTTGCTCGCTGTCAAGCTGGCACCCTCTTCTCCTGATGATGCGGAAGCAATAGCCTGATGACGACGAGGCTGCCAAGTGCGATCAGCCTCATCATCATCAATTAGGGTCTCCGCCTCACTACTAGCCCCCTCGGCTGCGTGTGGGTCAGGAGACAGACCTGTCTCTAGACCGGCTACCGAGCCACTCTCCTCGCCACTACTTCTTCGCCTGGCTGCTGAAAAGGCGGATGTCTCCCCCCGTTCCTGACCGCCCTCTGTTAGCTCTTCCTCACTGTAGAGTGGGGCTGAGCCCACAGCATGCGATACTTCGCTTGGTGAGGGAACACCAAAGGACAGGGGCAGGTAGAGGACACGTGATTTCAGTGGGCTTGCTCCCGGGCCATGCCAACTAACGGTTGTGTCTGACGTACCCACCGACCGTTGGCTGTAGGTGTCAGAGGTGACCTGGGAAGAGGAAGACGACCGAGCCAACCAATCGATGATGGCAGGGTTGTCGGTGGAGACACGACCGCTGGATGACACCGGGAGCACTGGCCTCTGGCTGCGACTAGTGCTGCCTCGACCCCTTCCTCTGCTGCCACGTCTGCTCGCTCCTAAAACATGGCATCCTCTGCCACTCCTCTGCGTGTTGTCTGACATACTCTTTAATTCAACGATTCTGTGTCCCTGAGTAACGATTCTGTGTCCCTGAGTAACAGTTCTGTGTCCCTGAGTAACAATTCTGTGTCCCCGAGTAACAGTTCTGTGTCCCTGAGTAACAATTCTGTGTCCCTGAGTAACAATTCTGTGTCCCTGAGTAACAATTCTGTGTCCCTCAGTAACAATTCTGTGTCCCTCAGTAACAATTCTATGTCTGTCCCTGAGTAACAATTCTGTGTCCCTCAGTAACAATTCTGTGTCCCTCAGTAACAATTCTGTGTCCCTCAGTAACAATTCTGTGTCTGTCCCTGAGTAACAATTCTGTGTCCCTGAGTAACAGTTCTGTGTCCCTGAGTAACAGTTCTGTGTCCCTGAGTAACAATTCTGTGTCCCTGAGTAACAATTCTGTGTCCCTCAGTAACAATTCTGTGTCCCTCAGTAACAATTCTGTGTCTGTCCCTGAGTAACAATTCTGTGTCCCTCAGTAACAATTCTGTGTCCCTCAGTAACAATTCTGTGTCTGTCCCTGAGTAACAATTCTGTGTCCCTGAGTAACAGTTCTGTGTTCCTGAGTAACAGTTCTGTGTCCCTGAATATAACAGTTCTGTGTCCCTGAGTAACAGTTCTGTGTCCCTGAGTAACAATTCTGTGTCTGTCCCTGAGTAACAGTTCTGTGTCCCTGAGTATCAATTCTGTGTCCCTTAGTAACAATTCTGTGTCCCTCAGTAACAATTCTGTGACCCTCAGTAACAATTCTGTGTCCCTCAGTAACAATATTGTGTCTGTCCCTGAGTAACAATTCTGTGTCCCTGAGTAACAATTCTGTGTCCCTGAGTAACAGTTCTGTGTCCCTGAGTAACAGTTCTGTGTCCCTGAGTAACAATTCTGTGTCCCTGAGTAACAATTCTGTGTCCCTCAGTAACAATTCTGTGTCCCTCAGTAACAATTCTGTGTCTGTCCCTGAGTAACAATTCTGTGTCCCTCAGTAACAATTCTGTGTCCCTCAGTAACAATTCTGTGTCTGTCCCTGAGTAACAATTCTGTGTCCCTGAGTAACAGTTCTGTGTTCCTGAGTAACAGTTCTGTGTCCCTGAATAACAGTTCTGTGTCCCTGAGTAACAATTCTGTGTCCCTGAGTAACAATTCTGTGTCTGTCCCTGAGTAACAGTTCTGTGTCCCTGAGTATCAATTCTGTGTCCCTTAGTAACAATTCTGTGTCCCTCAGTAACAATTCTGTGACCCTCAGTAACAATTCTGTGTCCCTCAGTAACAATATTGTGTCTGTCCCTGAGTAACAATTCTGTGTCCCTGAGTAACAGTTCTGTGTCCCTGAGTAACAATTCTGTGTCCCTGAGTAACAGTTCTGTGTCCCTGAGTAACAATTCTGTGTCCCTGAGTAACAATTCTGTGTCCCTGAGTAACAATTCTGTGTCCCTCAGTAACAATTCTGTGTCCCTCAGTAACAATTCTGTGTCTGTCCCTGAGTAACAATTCTGTGTCTCTCAGTAACAATTCTGTGTCCCTCAATAACAATTCTGTGTCCCTCAGTAACAATTCTGTGTCTGTCCCTGAGTAACAATTCTGTGTCCCTGAGTAACAGTTCTGTGTCCCTGAGTAACAATTCTGTGTCCCTGAGTAACAGTTCTGTGTCCCTGAGTAACAATTCTGTGTCCCTCAGTAACAATTCTGTGTCCCTCAGTAACAATTCTGTGTCCCTCAGTAACAATTCTGTGTCTGTCCCTGAGTAACAATTCTGTGTCCCTGAGTAACAGTTCTGTGTCCCTGAGTAACAATTCTGTGTCCCTGAGTAACAGTTCTGTGTCCCTGAGTAACAATTCTGTGTCCCTGAGTAACAATTCTGTGTCCCTCAGTAACAATTCTGTGTCCCTCAGTAACAATTCTGTGTCTGTCCCTGAGTAACAATTCTGTGTCCCTCAGTAACAATTCTGTGTCCCTCAATAACAATTCTGTGTCCCTCAGTAACAATTCTGTGTCTGTCCCTGAGTAACAATTCTGTGTCCCTGAGTAACAGTTCTGTGTCCCTGAGTAACAATTCTGTGTCCCTGAGTAACAGTTCTGTGTCCCTGAGTAACAATTCTGTGTCCCTGAGTAACAATTCTGTGTCCCTCAGTAACAATTCTGTGTCCCTCAGTAACAATTCTGTGTCCCTCAGTAACAATTCTGTGTCTGTCCCTGAGTAACAATTCTGTGTCCCTCAGTAACAATTCTGTGTCCCTCAGTAACAATTCTGTGTCTGTCCCTGAGTAACAATTCTGTGTCCCTGAGTAACAGTTCTGTGTCCCTGAGTAAAATTCTGTGTCCCTGAGTAACAATTCTGTGTCCCACAGTAACAATTCTGTGTCTGTCCCTGAGTAACAATTCTGTGTCCCTGAGTAACAGTTCTGTGTCCCTGAGTAACAATTCTGTGTCCCTGAGTAACAGTTTCTGTTTCCCTGAGTAACAATTCTGTGTCCCTGAGTAACAATTCTGTGTCCCTCAGTAACAATTCTGTGTCTGTCCCTGAGTAACAATTCTGTGTCCCTCAGTAACAATTCTGTGTCCCTCAGTAACAATTCTGTGTCCCTGAGTAACAGTTCTGTGTCCCTGAGTAACAGTTCTGTGTCCCTGAGTAACAATTCTGTGTCCCTCAGTAACAATTCTGTGTCTGTCCCTGAGTAACAATTCTGTGTCCCTCAGTAACAATTCTGTGTCCCTGAGTAACAGTTCTGTGTCCCTGAGTAACAGTTCTGTGTCCCTCAGTAACAGTTGTGTCCCTCAGTAACAATTCTGTGTCTGTCCCTGAGTAACAATTCTGTGTCCCTCAGTAACAATTCTGTGTCCCTCAGTAACAATTCTGTGTCTGTCCCTGAGTAACAGTTCTGTGTCCCTGAGTAACAGTTCTGTGTCCCTGAGTATCAATTCTGTGTCCCTCAGTAACAATTCTGTGTCCCTCAGTAACAATTCTGTGTCTGTCCCTTAGTAACAGTTCTGTGTCCCTGAGTAACAGTTCTGTGTCCCTGAGTAACAATTCTGTGTCCCTAAGTAACGATTCTGTGTCCCTAAAGTATCTGTGGCCCTAACTCTGTCCCTAATACAGAGAGGTCTGTCTCTCTTGAATGACCGGAGGCAAATGGAGAATTGTAAGATGGCCGCAATTTATAGCTCCACCATTACACAGTGCTGGCTGGCTGGCTGCTGATTGGCTAATGCGATCACATGTCATGAATGAATGCATTATGGGTCAGCGCGCCTTGTCTGCGCGCCTTCCCAGAGATCCCCGCTCCGTCACCACACATGTCGCCGCCATTTTTGGAAAAATTTCGATTTCGCGCATCCGAAGTCTGCTAATTTTCGGATTCGGCGCGAATCTAATTTTTTCTAATATTCGAAACGAATTCCACTTCGCCAAGTTCGATTCGCTCATCTCTAACCTTAACCGATACTTTGCCGTGCGATTTGTGCTAATGGACGCAAATTGCACTGCAAATAATAGCATCCAATTTGAACAGGAATGCCCTTTATGTCCAAATCGCATGTGGTTTCCTCACTGGGTCTGTGTGAATCCAGGCTTATCATAGCCCGAGTTCAAACAGAAGCAGTGCAGGAAACCTCCCTGCAGGCATCCCATGCTGAGTGTCAGTGGTAGGAGAGGAGAGAAAGCAGCTTGGATTTGAAATCCCTGCGCTTTCTTTCCTCTCCTTGCAGCAATGACAGTTCGGGCTTGATAGAATCTGATTGGTCAGCAGATGTCCAATTATATCAGTGCTTTCCAATTTACAATTCTTCCTTTATGCTTTACTTGTAGTCTGAATTTGGTGTGAGAAGTTTGCTAGCCATGTGTCTTTCATGAACT